ACAGAGCCACCACCATGCTTCACAGTGGGGATGGTATTCTTGTCGCTATAGGCCTTGTTGATCCCTCTACAAACCTAGTGCTTATGGTTGTGACCATAATGCTCTATTTTGGTCTCATGACTCCAAATTACAGTGTGCCAGAAGCTGTGAGGCGTGTCAAGGTGTTGTCTGGCATATTGTAACCGGGCTTTTTTGTGGCATTGGCGCAGTAAAAGCTTCTTTCTGGCAACTTGACCATGCAGCTTATTTTTTTCAACTATTGTCGTATTGTGCTCCTTGAAACAACCACACCGTCTTTTTCCAGAGCAGCCTGTATTTCTCCTGATGTATCCCGAACAATTCTTCTGGCAGTTGTGGTTGCAATCTTTCTTGGTCTACCTGACCTTGGTATCAAGAGATCCCCGAGTTTTCCACTTCATAATAAGTGATTGCACACTACTGACTGACTTTTTCAAGGCTTTGGATATCTTTTGATATCCCTTTACAGAGTTCCATTACCTTGTTACACAAGTCTTTTGACAGTTCTTTTTTGCTCCCCATGGCTCAGTATATCCACATGAGAGCTAACAAACTCATTAACAATTTATACACAGACACTAATTGCAATTTAAAAAGCCACAGATGTGGGAAATGAACCTTTTAATTGCCATTTTAACCCGTGTCTGTCACCTTGTGTGTCTGTAACAAGGCCAAACATTCCAGGGTATGTAAACTTTTGATCAGGGCCATTTGGCTGATTTCTGTTATTATGATTTAAAAGGAGCATAAATGGCTTCATATGATCACTATCCTTAAATAAAGACAGTTGTTTGGCTTGATCAGTCATATTGTCAATATCAATGCCAAAATGTTACGGCATTTTTGGGCACAACTGCAAGTATGAACGATACTTGTTGATCCTGCGATAAATCTAGTGAGCTGATAACTCCCTGTGCACTCTGCTACTGCCTACAGTTATTTGTTAGCATTGTTCCCAGTTTTCTCATGGAGTTTAAAACACCTCCTTATTTTATTGACGGGGTGTTTTGTAGTCATTAAACACTTCCTTTCCTAGGGTGACAACCCTGCTTCTCCATAAATATAGTGCAGAGAGTGAGGATTGTCGCCCTAAGACCGGCGGGATCATCAGATGAAAAAAAAAACAAACAAATGCAGCCACCACATCTATGGACCGTCAAGTTGCAATATATTACATTTCCTGACTTTAGATGCAATTTAAGATTCTGACCCTCGTTTTCCTAGTCTCAGACCTCCTGTACACTGGATTACAGGAGGCTAATAATAAGACAACTTCAGATATATATATAATGCCTAAATAAAAGCTTGAGTTTAATTTAATGAGCAAAATTAGATTGTTCTTTTCACCACTCTGGTATCTGTAATGCTACTACACATTTTATATTTGGAGTCTTTCTGGTATCAGTTTGTCTGCAGGTCATAGCTAGCCAAACTTTGTATCCCTGCTTTCCTGGATCTTTTCCCAGTACTGTTCTGCTCTTCTTCCAATCCTTCCTGGTGTGATCCAGCCCTGCTTTCCACTACACAGTGCAGAGGGCACTGAGCTAATGCTGCTATATGTTAGCTATACTGTATGTACATACAGTACCTCTTGATCAGTGTTGTACCTTGGTACGGTATTGCCAAGAAGATATACTATTACAGCTCATTAGCATTTCCAGCCGAGTTTGAACCAGTCATGCCTAAAAATAGTTTTTACTTGATCGAAACTTGGCAAACATATTTTAGAGTCTGGCCAAATATCCTGCATTTGTTGATTTGTTCAATATCCTGTTTCCAGCAAACTTCAGTTGAGAGAGAAGCAGAGCACTTAGCGTTCTAATCGACTCTGCTTGACTGACAGCTCCTTATGAAAATTATAGCAGCATGCATTGGTCTTTATTTGATCAGTAAAATTATGATATTATGCACTTTCTACTAGAAACAGATTCTGCTTAGCTTTATGCAGAGGAGCAGAAGTTATTCATAAACTAAGAGTTCTGGAGAAGTTTTCAGCATCGTAGGCCTCATTCACACTGGCAGTGTCAAACCTGTGTTTATATGCATTTAGAGCACAATTCTAAATGAATATACTGTAAGTGCATGTAATTAATTTTCAATTCTATCATTCAGACTTTGCCCTTACCTGCGTTTAGCTTAAATGCATTTAGCGATAATAGAAGTCTGTGCATCCAGGATCCGATTTAGAAGGTCTAAAACGCATGTAAACGCGGTTGTGAAAATACGGCCGGGAGCTTCCTAGATCTGAGTGGGCCTATTTAAATGTCCCGTCAGCCACTCGCGCGTGTGGGAACCTGCCCAAATTTAAAAACGGGCAGCGATGCCTGTTTACATACAAGCGGTTCGCCGGCTATAGAAACGGGGGATCGCTTGTAGAAGGTGCCTGTACGTGTGCAAGCCCCTCCCGCTGCCCTGCTGTGCCCGGTGCGAGCCCGGGACCAGCATGGTGGTTCTGTGACAGGATCAGAGGGAGATCGGTACACGCTCTCCCTCCGGTCCCCTCTCAGGTGTCAGAATGCGGAAGTGATGTATATTACATCACTTTTGCATTCTTGTGTCACTCTCCAGCTTCAGAAGCCGGAGCGAAGCTGATGAAGCAGATCTCTGCTTCATCAGCTTCTTTGGTGGTCCCTAGGTGACGGGGTTTTGGAGACCCCTGATGTCTTCATAAAGAGGACCTATCACATATCTTTGCCATCACATAGAGGGTTTTTCTCTGTCCCCTATGTGATAACAATAAAGTTAAGTGGGGAAAAAAATGTAAGTCGCACATGATTTTTTTTTTTTTTTAAATACAAAGTCCCCACCCCTGCATACACGCATGCAAACATGCGTCGGGTGTGTATATGTGCAAAAACAACGATTGCGCCCATTATGCCGCATATGTTACATATCGCTACAAACGTCACGGTGACAGCAATAATTCTAGGGCCATCAATCACTGATAACACTAAACTGATGAGTGGTAAAAGCTTTTAAAGCGTCGCCTATGGTAAATTTGGGTATGGTAGTTTTTTGTGATTTCGCGGGTGCATGCAATTTTAAACCTTGACATGTTTGGTGTCTATTTACCCGACGTGACCCCGTCTTTTATATGTTACCAAAAAATTGGGTGGTAATAAATAAATATTAATAAATATCACCAAAAGAAAGCTCTATTTGTCCCCAAAAATGGTATAAAATTAATTTAATTACAGCGTTGCATGACGGAATAAATACCAGTCAAAGTACTGCAGCACTGAATACTTGAAAAATGGCCTGGCCAGGAAGGGGGTGTAAACACCCGGTCAGCAAGTGGTTAAAGCAGGGACATCTAAACGCAGAAAAAGTGATCTGGGAGGCATACAAGTTGTTTATAGTTCTCGGATACATTTTCCAGCTTTCAGAAAAATCTAACGCAGGAGTGCCATTATGAATACGGGCTAAGAACTAGGGACAATTGATAGGCAAAGATTAAAATGCAGCCTTTACATATAGTTAGCTCAACTTCCCCCTGCCCTTCCTTCCCACATACAACCCCCACTATTGAACTCAAATCAGCCAACAACCTCCTCTACTGGTTTGGCTATTCCAGCTCATATGGCTCTAGTTCCTTATCACTGAGCTGATAGGCTTCCAAGTTGATGGCTCCTCCATTAGAGCCTGTGGAGAAAAGGCCACATATGTGTGAAAGGCGCCCACATGCCGGCCTCTGTCATGTCTTTGAATGCACAGCATGTGGAGATACCAGCTCAGTGAAGTTAGCTGCAGAACTGTTGGAGCCAGCATAGACAGTGGCCAGTGGAGGGGGGTACTAGCGGATTTAAAGTAAGTAGTAAAGGGTGTATATGTCAAAAGAGGACAGAAAATAATTTAATACAGGGCACACCCATAATATTGGATTCACAGAGCACTATGGATTTTTTTCAAGAGAGAACAAAGCACAAGCTGTTTACTTTCAGACTGTCTAATTGGATCTTGGTGGGGAGCATTTAAATAGCCAAAAAGAGGCAAGGGAGTTACTGTTCTTACACATTGTTATTTGCATAAAATTTTAGCATATGCTATTGAGCTTTGTAAACAATAAGCTTTTTTTTCAATGTAGCAGATAAGAAAAGCCTTAGGGCTTGTTCACACCAAATGCAGACCAGATGTGCATGAGGTTCTGCACACGCAGTGCAGTGGGTTGTGCCGCGTTTTTGATGCAATCCGGCCATTTTTGGTTAAAAAAAAAATGTTTACATGCTCTGGAACTGAATGCTGCAGTGTGAACTAGAGCCCAAAATACCATTGGAATACATTGGACACAGTTTTGATCCGGTCTGTAACTGCTCTGCTCCTGGAACGTGCTTGGTGTGAACAAGGCCTTAAAAGTAGCCTAGAACTGACTACTGTTTGCCTGAAAATTTATACTATACTAACCACAATACATTCTAAAAGCAACAACAACGCAGTCAGGACCCCTTGGTCATCACACCCTGACTACACCATTCAAAATTACTGTTTCTTTTTTGGGGTTCTATCTCCAACTTTTATATTTAGAATTTTAGAAATGCATCCCTGTTCATGTATACATGTCCCTTGTTAGGGTCACATATTTACAAATCAAAGCATCAATATTACTAGGCATCATGATGAATCCAGTGAAAAAGTGAAGGGCAGGTGCTTAGCTTTAGTATTGAGCAGCTGAATCTATGAACAGCTGCAACAGAGAATATTACAAAAAGTGGTATTTGCTCAGTTTCGAGTCAACAGACTTAGATTTTGCAGAAAGTGTCACCACTGAATGATTGGTCACTTAGTTGATTGTGTTTAGAGAGCTGTGTGTTCTGTCCATTTCCTAACAATGTGTTTTACTTGTATTACGACTTTAGGAAATATTACCACACGCATCAGAACCTCAGAGACAGGCTCAGATGAAGCCATTAAGTCTATTCTAGAGCAAGCCAAAAGAGAGCTGCAGGTGCTAAAGACTGGTAAGTGTCATTGTCAGTCTGTGTGTATGAGTATTGATTATAAAGTCATTGTAGATCACACTTTAGTATTCTTATAGCCAGATCTTGACACCTCGAGCGTGTTTTAGGTTTTGGAGACTGCCATTTCCTTATTGTTAGCTTGTAGGAAATGACCATCTGAAGAGAAGTAAATTGTCCTTAAACTTTTTCAATTTTTTTTGATGGGGTGAGGAAGGGTTACAGCCGCAGTGTGGTTTTTATTGTTGTCTGGTGTTGAGATTCACTGTCTCTACTGTTCCTAGTAATCATTGTCACCAGGACAGAAAGTGAGGAAAATTACAAATTTTGTGCTGCCAGGTGAGGAGGAATAGAGTGCAAGTGCTCCGCTGGGACACTAGTTGCGGTAACAGCTAATTGTGCCCATGCACATAGCAATGTCTACCGTATTTGGTATAAGCAAACTTAAACAAGCATTAAATCATTATAATATTAAACAACAAAACACACATTCTTGTTTCACACCATGCAATCAACTGAAAATATTGATCATCTATCAGTCACAATTTAAATTGATCTTTTAGAAAACAATCATTTAATTGATCTGTATTGCAATTGGTTCTTCAACATATGCAGATATAAAGCCTTCTACACTGAAGACAAAACTAAATAAAACATTTGTTAAAGGAATTGGCGATGCATACACTTTAAGAAAAGCGACACACATACTTTTTTTTTTTTAGGATAAACAAACCTATATTGTCTTATGAAAAATATTTTTTATACAATCCATAGATTAAAAAGAAAAAAAAAAGAAAGCTTTTTCTACTTTGAACAGTTAAAAAAATTCTGATTTTGGTACAAAGCTAGGTATTTATAAATGTAACAAAGCTTTTTTGAATTTTTAACTTTTATTTATTGCAACATTAAAAAATGAACTAACAAAATGAATAAACACAAACATTTTATTATTGTTACAAATATAGAAGGAAAAAAAACAATCAGAAGTAAAATAGCTAAGGGCGAAGGGGAAGAATAAATAGGGCTGACCAGGCAAACTGAGGGCTAATGACAACAGGTTTTTGTTTTTATTTTGTTATACCTGTAAGGTTTTCTATACGTGATACCATGTTTGGATTGAAGCTCACTCCTGTGCTCTGGAAACAAATGGAACAGACTAAATACAAAACTAAATAGCAATGTAACAATACTGTTACTTAGTATCTCTCTATGAACTGTGTTTATAACATTGTAAGAATGGCAGTTTTCTTGACAGCAGCGGCTGTAATAGCTGCTGCATATACACAGCAACTAAAGACAAATGAGGGGAGCGGCAGCTGATCATTGCTACACTCCCTCTGCACATGGATGACGTTTTTGTTGGGCCTGTGGGGCAAGCCCAGTGTCCACAACTAGTTAGTCTTCTCTACAGCTTTGTCACATGGCTAATCTAGGCAGCTTCACCTTGCTTACTTAGATAAGTAAACATTCACTTTGGTAAGTGTACAGTCTCTATTTCTTTAGTACATGAACCCCAATGAATCAGTATCCCCATGCTGCTAATTCGTGTTCAAATGAACAGTCACTGGGCACAAGCTGTATATCTGAAATTGGAAATAACAGTGTTACTTGACTTGGTATGCATTATGGCAGGGGAATATGAATCACAAGCCTGGCTGAAAAAAAAATCACAAATCCTTCAGCAGGTAAAATGGTTCAAAATCAAATATATGTATTTTAAATGTGCATTTAGCTGTTTGCCTGGAGTTCTGCTACAAAGAAAGATTTGTAAATTTAAGAGTGTAAAAATGCAGATTGCTTAAAACAGATTGACTTCGATTTTTAGACTTTTCAGCTATGAAGAAAAGCAGCTTGGCTTCTGCCATGGAAATCTGCTGACTCGCTGCTGATCAGCTGAAGGGCTTTTTATATGAATGTGGAAAACTCCTTTTAAGGAATCCTGAATCTTAACACTTTCCCATCACCCAGTGTACATTTCCTTTCAGTTCCTTTCTGCCAGCTCTTCAGATAGTCAATCAGACTGCATGATGAAAGTGGCAATAATATATGCTTATTATATATATTCACAAAGCAGTAATTACTGTCTGTTCTCAGTTTAGCGTTCACTGTGTATACCGTTCAATGTGAAGCAGCCAATGCAACTCAAAGTGAACAAAACACAGTTTGAACAAGGCATTTATTTTAACAGGCCTTGACTGTTGGTTAACGTTATAAAAGTTTGTATCTAATTTGTTTAAACTTGTTTCTGCAGTTGAGCCGGCTCAGCCCTCTTCAGCATCCAGCAGTGGTAATTCTGATGACACTATTAGGTCCATTTTACAACAAGCAAGAAGAGAAATGGAAGCCCAGCAAGCTGCTTTTGAACCTGCCTTAAAAACGGCATCTCTATCCCAAGCTGATCTTGCTATAATTTCTCCCAAACTTATCTCTACCACTGCAGTCTCTTCGGTGTCAAGTTACTCTCCCTTAAGCATGTCACTAAAGAAACACATGCCCGTTTTGGACTCTGGCATCTCTACGTTACAGAGCCTTTCTTGCGTAAAAAGAGAGCCCCAAGAGACGTCAATGTTAGACATTCATAGCATGACGGAATCTACACAGAGCATGCTAAGGCACGTGAAAAATGAGCTAGGACGAGGTACTGCGTGGAAAGACCATTGGTGGAACACTGTTCCACATGAGCGGAGAACCACAGCGCCATCTGAAGACACAAAAGTTGAAGAGACCAACTGCATAAAGGAGAAGCTCATCACTCAGAACAGGCCGGACCGACAAGGGCCTTCGTCATCTTCAGAGTACTGGAAGGAGTGGCCAAATGCTGAATCCCCGTATTCGCAGAGCTCGGAAATCAGCATGACGGGAGTCAGCCGCAGTGAGACGCCTCAGAACAGTCCATTGCCTTCATCTCCGGCTGTATCTATAGCCAAGCCAATCAAACCGTCTGTCCCTCCACTAACTCCGGAACAGTATGAGGTGTACATGTACCAGGAGGTGGACACCATCGAGCTCACCCGTCAAGTGAAAGAGAAGCTTGCAAAAAATGGAATCTGCCAAAGGATATTCGGTGAAAAGGTAAGCACATGTATTATTTTAACTCACCTTCCCATTTGCAAAGCTCTATTTATTACCTACACGGCTTTCCAAAGAAAACGTTGGCATGGGATCTTTGCTTACGAGCAGTTCTTGATACAGTCATTGCTTGATTTGTTTTGATTTGCACACACTCTAATAAATCATACAATGCAGCTGCTCACAGCCCATGTTGGCAGAAGGTAGATGTTGTTCCTGGACTGTCAAAACGTGTACTTGACACAGATATGATAAATAAATGTTTTGGTTGGCACAGCACAATACAGCCAGTCTAAAAAATTGCTGAAAGATACTTTGTGTTAGTGAATACATTTGTAAGCTTGTAGTCTCTTAGATAACAATGTCTGCAAATGTCTTATGGCACCTATGGCAGTGGCCTCGTGCTCCAGCAGCATTTTAAAGGAAGATTTAAAAGGTGTACTGCTGTTGAGATTGAAATTAAACTTTGAGATGCTTACAGGAAGCAAAGCCCACCTACAGAGTTGTTCAGTTTTTAGTATTTTAGTACCACCGTAGCTGTACTAGACCAGCTCACCTTCCTCCCCTTTCTCTGTGATCTGGTTGTTCTGAAACCCATCTGCTTGCAATTCTAAAACATACTTCCTGACACAAACAGATGTAAAACAAAAATTCACATTTCTCACTCACCAGTCAGATTTAAACCTACCCTGGAAGTTTGAATGTGATTTGTATTACAAGAAGCTGTGAGCAATAGAAAAAGTAAAACCATACAACCTTCAGGAGCTACACTCCAGGTTCCCTCCTTATCATCCTGTAGAGAGCTGTGTGAGTTTATTCTGAAGGGGAATACATAGAAATCATATTAAGGGAAAACTAAGTGACTTTATTACTTTTTACACTGTGTGTGTAGGTTTTCAATTGCTTCTTAGAATTGCTCTATAGATGCAAGTTAAATGATCCTGTATGTAAATTGCATACTTGTGTGCCTATTTGGTTTGATCACCATGCGCTTGCATGATGATGTGCATAGATTCATTGGACTAAGCATCAAAAGCTTTTATGAAGCCAATGGCAGTCATATGAAGCCTCAGACTGCTGAATGAAGATGAAACCTTTTTGGCGGCTACAGGTAACTGTTCCATGTTCTACTGGTTTCATTGCTCCAGCCCTATAGTGTGTTTTTGGATGCATGTCACTCCTGTGGAGTATATGGAAATTGTCAAAGCTTAGAAAAAGATGCTGTGGCCAAACCTATTTTCCCATTAGTTATTTTTTGGGTCACAGGAGGTCCACCTGTGACCGAAAACTCTGCATGCAGCGGGCTATTGCCCACTATATGCTAACAGTACAGACCTGCGCTGCAGCCGGGAAAGATCCTGACAATATTGTTAGGATTCACCCCACTGCCTGAGTGACAGCTGGCTCTGCCTGACCCCTCCTCCATCTGTCCCTCCAGTCAGCGGTGAAGTAACAAAGAGGGGAGGGGGGAGAGGTGACTGACAGTCACCGCTCTCTGCAGGGAGAAGATCGTGAACTGGGTGATCAGCCGTTTATGAACGCTCAGTTCTCAATCAATAGAGCCGACATGTGACAGCTGCAGTGTCACATGTCTGCTCTAAATGTGGGGATGAGTGTATTTCACTTTCCCCATAGTTCTCCTTTAATGCAGTCATATTTAGAAACAAGCACTTTGCGAATGCTGATAAAGAAGAGTAAGTTGTTTTCTCTGTCTGTGCAGGTAGGGAATTTAAGGCCTCATTCACACGGACCAATTTGGGATTCCTGCTACAGGAACTTACAGATTCCTGCCCCAGATATCATCCTATTTGGATGCAGACATTGTACCCATTGAAGTTAATGACTGGATGACAGCGGCTGCATCTGTAAGCAGCAGTCCACATGTAATCATATATGATACAATTACATGCGGTTTGGAATAGATAATTGTCGCTTGACGCAGGATAGATGCATCCAGTGGCAGTGCTTTATTCCAAACCACGTGTAATCGTATCATATAGTATTATATGCAGACTGCCACTTACAGATGCAGTTGCTGTCCCCCATTCATTTACTTGAACAGGTATAGGGGCCACATGTAAATGGAATATCTGGGATTCCTGCCGGAGGAATCCATAGGTTCCTGTCACAGGAATCCATCATCACCCAGTGTGAATGAGGCTTTACTGTGCAGTGGTGAAATTCACTTTTTTTTTTTTTTAATCTGGTTTGTTTTTCATCTGTCAAATACATTGGCTTTATCTTGACATATACGTGATTGTTTAAAGAGGACCTTCCATTATGTTCCCAAACAAAAATATTATCCCATTTCAGCTTGCCATAAAGAGATACCAAGTTGTTATCAACACTTTCTAGTCCACACGTTCTGCAGTCCCTTTGTTTAAGATTTGTAATGTAATTATATTTCATTATGCTCAAATTACTTAAAGATGATGTCCAAATTTTATGTTGTCCTCATGAACGATTATGCCTTAAAAGAACTGAGGAGGATTGAGATTGCTGGATTCACATTACTAGCAAGTGTGGGCTGTCTTATGTGGACATTCTCAATGGCATTTTTATTACTGTGATGGCAGAAACAGGATCTTTACCGCAATGATCTTTTCATATGGCCCACTTTAAATAGTTTCCAAAATAAATAAGATCTAGAGAGAGCTTCAGGTTTAGCTGCCAGTTGTCTGTACTTTAAAGTGGTACTAAACTCAGGAGTTAAATCTTAAAAATGCAATCAAGTAACTTCCCTATTAACAAAAATGTATCTTATTTGTGCATTACTCAGCTGCAGATCCTCAAATCATCTCTAAATTGGTGCTGACACTGTCCTTCCTTCTGGAGGGTGGCTGCTTTTGTTCCCATGGTCCCCGTATGCGTTGTAAAGTAGCCACCAATTAGTAAACTAAACGTGAGATTGTAGTCCATTACAAGAGTGAACTTGGATTGGTAACTACTTTACAACACACACAGGGACCATGGGGAACAAAAGTAGCCACCCTCCAGAAGGAAGGACAGTGTCGGTATGAATTCAGAGATGATTTGAGGATCTACAGCTGAGTGATACACAAATAAGATTAATTTTTAGAATGTAAGCCCTCAGGGCGGGGTCCTCCTTACCATCTTGTCTTGTATTGTGATTGTAATTTCTTCCTTATTTTGTAAAGCGCTGCGCAAACTGTTGGCGCTATATAAATCCTGTATAATAATAATAATAATTTGTGTTAATAGTTCAGGTTTTGTGTCACTTTAATGCTGCGCAAATACAATACATAAAGACTGAAAGCTTTACACATCACTGCTTTATAAAAAGGTAGCACCTTCTCTTCAAATTAGCCCATGCTGTACTGAAAGGGAAATCTATTTTGTACCTCTGAGGCCTAGCTAAATCGTACAGAAGAGTGAGCTTTCCCCAGATTCAGAGAACATGACTGGCTTACTGCTTAGCTCTGCTGTGGACCCCCTATGGTCCATTTTGTTTTGGACCGAGTAGGAAATGGTTAGTACCTCCTCTGTTTTTTATTGCAATCTGTGCCTTTGTATTTCACTGGCACAAGACACAAAGGAGACAGACAGAAATGAAAACCTGACCGAAAAATTGTAACTCTTCCCCACTCCAAAACTAAAAAGAAAAATGCACTTTAAAAGTGCACTTCAATGTTTTATGGTTTTTGGGTTTTATTTTAGTAATCAAACTTAGAGTTATTCACTAAAGGGTGAATAGTTTGGAGAAGGCAGTAGAAGTGAACAATCTAGAACAACATAGCTGAACTGGAATGTGAGCTGAATTGGAGAATGTTTCCAGTTCCGCTATGTTGTCCTAGATTGTTCACTTCTCCTGCCTTCTCCAAACTCTTCACCGTTTTGTGAATAACCCTGTTCATTTTCCACAATGTAAATGTGATTTTTTTTTTTCCATCTGCATTAAATACTTGTATATCACTTATAATAGTAGGCTGATCTGCTTGCTCTGGTACAAGATCTTTTACTTGATAAAACAGGGAAACCTGTCAAGGTAAGAGCAATATTTCTGACGAAACCTGTGTGTTGAATTTGCAGGTGCTGGGCCTGTCACAGGGCAGCGTCAGCGACATGCTGTCCAGGCCGAAACCCTGGAGCAAGCTGACCCAGAAAGGCCGAGAACCATTCATTAGAATGCAGCTATGGCTGAACGGGGAGCTTGGGCAAAGCGTCTTGCAGTCACAAGGACAACAACAAGGACAAGGTACTATAAATAAAAACTTTGTGTGAGCCTTGCTGTACACTACCTAATTTTCCTCTTTTACTCTGTTTAAAGGGATTTTGGCAGCAGGCAGTGATATAGTCAGAATGTGACCTTGGATAATTCTATCAGACAGGAATGACAGGGAGGCACTGTACTACCGAGCTCTTGTAGTATTTAGTTGTGTGGAAAGTGAGATTTGTTCCGCCCGTGGCAGACACAGTATTCCATGTGTTTTAGTGCCCTGTGGCAAAGAAAGTGCTGATGTACGACAATTCCTGCAGAGCTGATATTTGCCACTTCCTTTGCTGACTTACCTTTACTTTCCATTTATAGCCCTGCTATCTGCGGCAACTCTGCAGGATCCTGTTATCGAAGGATGTCCAAGTTCAGGTACTTTTTATAGTGAATCGTTTTTTTTTCCCCCCCTCAATCTCAGTAAGGTTATATGTAGACAAGCTCTACGTGCTTTTCTGACACTTGGCTGTGCTTGGGAAAATCATCTGTGGCATTTTAAATGTAAATATTCAGCATCAACCAGCATTTTTTGTTTTCAAAGTACAAAATGTTATTGCAGATTCAGCACATAATTAGTCATAGAGTGCTTAGTGTAGATGAGGCAGCAGCATACCTCTTCCAAACATTCAAAGATATAACCAGCATGGCTTTTAACCCTAATTTGAGGTTGGACAAAAATACGTTTTGTTTTTTTGTTAAATACTTTTAGCAGTGGCCAATTATGAGGACTTTGCAATCACCCTATTGCGCCCCTTTGCCGTCATGCGGCACATTCTAAAATTGAGCCGAGAGCTTGCTCTGTCTACTGTAACTGCTATGTTGGACTGTTTCTAAAATGTAGAAAGCATATAATATTGAAGCTGATTTAGGCAGAAATTTCTGGCTTCTTTGTGAACAAGAATTTTTTTTATCGTAAGATCATGGCTTTGGTTCAAGATGGTTTGGTGGGGATCTACAGTGACAATCTTTGTCAGTACTGTGGATGTTTTCCAATATATTGCTTGGAATGAAAACTAATCTCCACTAAAAAGGATTTATTATCATTTGCAGCTCACTGAAAACTTCCTGTTTACATAGGCTGGAAGTTTGTTGAAGTGGTAATCCAAATCAAGCAAAAGCTCTGAATGGATTGAGTAGGAAAGCGTTAGAATCTCTGTCATTTTGGTTATCTTGTCCCTTGGGAAAATTTGCCCTCACTTCCTGCCTCTGTGACAACTGTCCCCAGGATAGGAAGTGAAGGCATAACTGCTCAGTGAGGGACACTATCTAGATCCTCCCCAATATCTCTCAAAATGTTAAATAGCAAAAATTTGCAGCTTACTGAAAATGCTCTATTTACATAGGCGGATATGTATTGAAGTGGGATAGCATTTTTTTTTTTTTTTGGGATAGCATAGGCAAGAATTTGAACCTCTGCCATTTTTGGTTGTCTTTGTCTCTTTGGGAAAATTTGTTCTCACTTCCTGCCTCTGTTACCATTATGGGAAGTGAAGGGAAAACTCCTTAGTTGAGGACATAGCTGTAAATAATCCAGATCCTCTCCACCATTTCCATTTCTTTTTTTCTGCCAGCCATTCTATTTTAAATGATGCATTTTGCTGATGTTCTCAAATATTAAATGTATACAGAACTTGGCAGCAAACATTAAAATTATTTCAAATATTGTAATTCTATGGACAAAATGAAAAGTTCCATTGTGTGGACGCTAGGCAATTTGCAAAGTCCTGAAAGTACTTTCCAGGGCGTACTTGCAGCCATCAGGGCCCAAGTAACATTGTAGTTTTTTGTCCACTGCTAACCATGTTGGCAGACAACTCTGCTCCTACATCGCACTCTGTCCCAGCCCTGATATCTGGCAATAGCAGCAGCCTGTGAGAAAGCAAGCTGTAACATGGTTTATTCAGGACAATTAATAATGGAGTCAGAAAACTTGAAATCATTGTGTATATTATTCACTCTAGGCTTCTGTTGACCAGCAGTTATGTACATCATCGATACCTTGACTGGTGTTCCCCATTATCTGAGGGTTAACAATAGTAAACATCCTGGAAAATCTGATGACTGATCCCTTACTATTTACTTTAGTCAGCTATTGGTATGACCACAGAGGTCACAGTGTACCTATAGTTAAATAGCTGTTTCCAGTAATTATCTGGACTGGCCAGTCTTCTCATGTCTATGAGTACCAACATATTTCATTGCTATCACAGTAGCTGAACTGCATTGCTTAATATTACCATGCTTTACCTTTATACGGTGACTTCTGTGGCATTATGGCTGAGATTTGTCACAGCAGGAAACCAAGGACAGTGAATGTCACATAATGGTTTGTTCTTTGGCGCACATACTAGTATGATTAGTTTTATAGGTACACTTAAAGTATATCTGTTATAATATAAATAAGTAACCTCCCTATGCTTAACCCCATCGAAAAAATGTCTCTGTCTGGCTGTCATGCTGATCCATTAGATCCCAAAAAGAGCCTTTCCTTCACATAGTTTGTTGCTTAACCCATCTAAAAGTGCTCGGTGCCTGGCTGTGATGCTGATAAATTAGAGAAAAATAGCCTTCCCTGGGCATAGTTGGATGTTTAAAGTTTAGGTAGGACCACTTCACTGCACCTTACTTCACGCTTGGTAAAGAAACTGCTCCGACTCGCTTTAAAGTCACAATGGACAAAGTGACAGAATCTCTTACTAGCCTGCCCTGACCCACATTTCACCATCTGTGTCATGTCTCCATGTCTGGGCCTGGTGATTGTCCTCTCATACTAAGCTGCCTCCTTGGAGGAGGTTACATGCCCTATACCCGGAAATACTGGGTATTTGAGGTGCCTGCGGCAGAGCAGCAGAACTGTATGGGATCATAGGGAAAGTGAGTATAAGTGGGTCAAGGGGTGAGCTAGTAAAAGATTTTGAATGGGCAATCGGCGATCAGTCTCCTATGTCACTTTTACTAAAGAGCCATTATCTGTATAGCTATTACTGTGATTCATAGACATCTTAATATAAAGACTGATCTCTGTGTGACCTATTGATCCGTAAGCTCACTTTTTCTAGCACCTCCAAGCGGCCTTGTGTTCCCCTTATATATATATACTCGCTGTGCTTCCGCTGTACATGTTGCACCAGAGGAGGTGCTCACAGAGAGTACTTTATTTTGGTTAGTGTCCTCTCATTATTATACTGGAGGTGGAAAACTGCATTTGAAGTTACAGCTGTGGGTGTTCCCAAGGGACTCGGTCTTTCTTCTTCGTTCGTCTATATTCTGAGCCATCATCCATCATGTCTAACCTCATGCTGCTTAGCAGAAGACAAACCCAGAGGAATAGAAACTCGTACAACAACAAAAGACAACTGCTAATTAAGGACTGTGTTTTTCACCCCCAACCAATGCATACCTTGAATAATGGCTTCTACGTAAGTGACTTAAATGTCCATAATATGTTTAGATCTGCTTAAAATAATGTGGAACACAAACAAAAGTCCTTTTTGTTAATTATATCACACAGCAATTAATCTTCTGAGTCCCTTAGGAGGGACGATAGAAGACAGAGGAGTTTGCAGATTGAAGTACCTTATAAAGGTTGTTAAAGTAACTTGACTGAACTTTTTTTTTCTTTTCTCTAAAAGTTTTAGTTGCTTAATAAAGTTTGATTTACATTTAATTTACAATAAAAAGTTAGTTATAAATGTAAAAAAAAGGATAATTTTACAACTGAGGACAAGGAAAAGAATGTTTTTGCCGGTCTATGTACGTGCAGATGTGTGTGTACACACATACATTAAAACAAAACCAATACAGATCACTCATATGTAATAGCTTGTAAAGTAATATAAAAGTATGTAATAGAATACAGTATGACCTAGGTCTAAAGGTAAAAGCTGTCTGTTTCCTTTCCTACTTAAAGCTCAACTCCAGTCAGTCATAACATTTTGTAGTGGGTGGTAAACTCCACCCCACACCCATCATTCAGATAGCAGGGTTTAACCCTTTCACTGCCACAAACTTAACTATTACATTGGCTACAGCACTGGCATGTACACTGACTGTCTGCCAGTATAACAGCTGGGAGTTTGTTTACATTTTACCCCGGCTGCTGACTTTCACATAGAAGTGACTGTGATATTCATGCTCTCAGAGGTGACTTTGAGAACAATATTCACATTCTCAATCATGGGTGACTTAAGGGGTCGAGTAGAAGAACTTGGCTGCTGCAGTGTGCTATCACAAAACGGGCTTATCGAGTTAAGTAAAAGAAAAATTAGACATATCGATGCAAATGCATGCATAAGGTGCACACGCGTACAAAATATGATTGTGCCACACATTTTGTATTGTCCCTTGTATGATGAAGTGAGAGCAATAGTTCATTGGTAACTCTAAACTGATCAGCTGTAAAAGCTTTTAAACCATCGCCTATAGGTGTTTTTTGATCAGCACGGTTTTGAGTCTTAACATATTTGACATTTTTTCTATTTACTTAGTGTAACTTTTATACGTTACCAAAAAAATGGGTATTCTGTTGTGTTTGTGTGCACTAAAATTGATTTAAATGTATAGTTTAGGGACAATATAGATTTATATCTATATAATACTTGATTTCAACAGTAACTCAATTATCATAACTGATAAAAATATCAACTGCCACCAGTTTATTCTACAGGGCCTCTGCTCTCAGGAAATATATGATGGTTTGGGGGTTTTAAGTAATCATTAGGCCTAAAATGTGCCTTTTTAAAATGTGTGAAAAAAATGGCTCCAGCAGCGAAATAGTTAAATACCCATCTAGTCTAGTGAAGGTTTAACGCAGAGGAATACTTTATTCCTCGCTCCCTCAGGCTTGTCTTGTCACAAAGCAGCTTGTCTTTACCAGTCATGTGGCTGCCCAGTAATTGACATCCTCAGGTACAATGCAGGACCAGCAGTCCTGCATTGTACAAGAGGATGTTGAGAGTCTTTCCACATTGATGGAGCAGTAGAGAGTGCCAGCTGCTGGAGGAGAGAGGGATAAGGTAAGCATTCCCCTACTTCAAACCTCCCCTGAACTAAATGAGCATTTGCTTACCAGAATGGGACATATATTAATAATTTTTGGAAGCTGACTGCAGTTCAGCTTCTGAAGGGAGGATCTGATTATCTTATGTGGTCAGTGCAGCAGAGGGCTCATGGATAAGGCACTGTTTTAATAAAAATGGGCATCATTACCTTGGACAGAGCATAATATTATAAATATACAACCTATGAATCTGGAATCTTAACATAAACATTTAAAGTGAAGTGGACCCGATTTAACAAGCTACTCTGCTGCTCTTTCAGCCTCTGGCATTTGGCTGTTTGATGGCAAGGGGGAGGCTAAGTGCACCAGTTGGGGC